GGCAATTTATGGCCACATGACCCATGAGGGCCGAGAGTAGGTGTTCAAGTGTAGTGAAATTATTTCAAGGGGGGACAACATATTCTGATATTCTCATCCTCTAGTTCACACGAGATATAACGTGCCCCCCACATTTCAAGATAATTGTCACTCTATGTGTACTGATTTAAGTTTAGCTGAAAAAAAAATATTTGAGCATGTCTGGTCAGTCCATTTAAACTCATTCAAGTCGAGGGTTGGGATCATGATTTGGACCTTTTAAAAGTAAGTAAAAAGGTTGGTTCTATAAAGTAAGCCTTATCTCGCTCACAGTCATTAGTCAGCCACATGGCAGTGTACTCACCATTGTGTGGTCACTGTCACCGAACATTATGAGGCAATTTATGGCCTCGTGACCCATGAGGGCTGAGAGTAGGTGTTCAAGTGTAGTGAAATTATTCCAAGGGGGAACAACATATTCTGATATTCTCATCTTCTTGTTCACACGAGATATAATGTGTCCCCTAAGTTTCAAGATAACTGCCACTCTATGCGTACTGATTTAAGCATAGCGGGAAAAACATTTGAGCCTGTCTGGTCATTCCATTTAAACTCATTCAAACCGAGGGTTGGGATCATGATTTGGACCATTTAAAAGTAAGTAAAAAGGTTGGTTCTATAAAGTAAGCCTTATCTCGCTCACAATCATTAGTCAGCCACGTAGCCGTGTACTCACTATTGTGTGGTCACTGTCACCGGACATAATGAGGACCTTTATGGCTGTGACCCATAAGGGGCGAGAGTAGGTGTACAAGTGTAGTGAAATTATTCCAGGGCGAACAACATGTTATGATATTCTCATCCTCTCCTTCACACGAGATATAACGCGTCCCCTTCATTTCAAGATAATTGACACTTTATGCATAGTGATTTAAGTATGGCCGAAAAACTAGGTTGAGCCTGTTGGATGAGTTCATTTAAACTCATTTAAATTGAGAGTTAGGCTTATGATTTAGACCCTTCAGAAACAAGTTGAACTGTAGGGTCTAAAATTAAATAGGCTGACCTGTTCAAACTAACCAAATAAATTTTTAAATTTTTTTATTTTTTCTTACTTTAAAAAAGAAAACTGGTTGCATGGATTTGCATTTTTTTTCTATATTTTTTTATTCTTTCAATTAATCTTCAAGCTCTCATTCGTTCTCACAACTAATTGCATAGTTTTGCATATCGAGATAATTCACTAATTTATAAATGAATCACAATTATTTATGCTTTTAATTGCTCAACTTGTCTATAATGTTGGTTTATTATTTGTTGCGAAAAATGCATGTAATATTAATGATGGAAAATAAATTATTGATATTTTTAGAAGTCAAGAAGAGTTTGTTACTAGTTAAATACAATCAAATGTCCTTGTAATTGATGATAATGATGATGAAGTTTCAAAAAAATGATGATGCTACTACCACCTACATAATGTTTCTTAATGTGAACTTAGTGTTTGTTTAGTTGTTTAGTATGAATTTAGTGCTTGTTTAGTTATTTATGTCTGTCTTCTATTTAGTTTGTGTATTCCATAAACTCTCTTGCACTATGATTAATGTTTTGGATGTTTACATATGATGATTTTTATATCTATGACTTAATTTTATTTATATTTATACTTTTACTAATAATTTTATTGTTTTATTTTCATTATTTTGATAAAATATATTTAAAAAAATTAAAAAACTACATTTTTCATTAAACTGGTCAAAAGCTTGTGGTCTTGAGCCCAGAAACTTGAGAATCAGGCCTAAAAATTTTACTAATTCTTAGGATTCGAGCTTAAACAGGCAGAAGCGGGCCGCTTTCCTAGTACTAGATTTGAGTCAATCAATACCCTAAATTTTAATAACGTTAGCAGCGTGGGGAGGTAAGAGAGAGAACAATTGAGCATTTGTCATTCACCTTCGGGGCGTTTAATTCTTCGGAGAAGTTGTTTTTAAAAAAGTATTTTTATATAAAATAAAAAAATTTCTTATATATCTATTTTGTATAAAAATTATGGTTTGGTTTACACTCAAATACTATCTTATTTTTCTGTTGTTAAAAATCTATTCAAGAGCTATAAGGATATAAAAAGGCTTGGAAAAACAGCGCCTTGAGCAAATATATATAAAAAGTTTGGAAGCTGAGAGAACAACACGACATATGCATGTTAATTATAACGAGATAAAGATGAATAAAGTTAATTTACGGTCATGGGAGTTGATAAATTCTGTCTTTTCCTCTCATTTAGAAAATTTATAAATATTTTTGTATCCAAATAAATTTTATGATACCCAATACTCTTTAATATAAATTTTGTTATTAAAAATACACTTTAAAACTAACTTCTTGAGTTCCACTAAAAGTAAACTAAAAGACATTAACGGTGTGATGTCAGATATTTCTTTTTGACAACTTTATATTCATTTTTATATCCAAACAAATTTCATTGTGTTCAGTGCCTCTTAAAATAAATTTAGTTGTTAAAATTACATCTTATCTCACCGTAAAATTAAAAAAAACTCATTAATTATTAAGATAAATTTAAATTAAAACTTATAAAATATTACACTTTTTTGGAATACAAAGCCCATAAATAGAATCAATATTCTTGGCCTTCGTTTGCGAACCAAGTTTCCGTTTTACTATTCGTGAAAAGGGCAAAAAAATTGAACAACTCGAAAACGACGTCAATTTTGGAACAGTAGGCTAGTGGGGTATAGTCATTAAATATATACACACACATTACGGAGTTGAACTGCTCTAGTGCCGGAAGATTACTCGTGGAAGAAAGAGAGCCGCTGATTTCTGACATTACGGAGACAATATTCCTTGGAAGCCACGTACCTCTGACTTTTTTGTTTCCATTCTTTGAAGGGGCTAGTCGGCAAGCCAGGGTGAAATCTACTCACGTGCTCTTAAATCTCCAACCCAACGGTCACGACATCTGAAGTCACCTAGCGTCATTTCCGGCTATCGTTCAAAAGGCCAAAGGTAAAGTGACTATAAAAAATATTTCAGAAATAATTAGAAAAGTTTTGGAAAAGTTGCAACAAAAACTGTGAAGACTGTGCAAATACAAATCAGAACTTGTTATAAGATTTGTATAGATTTTGATAATAATTAAATAAAAAATAACAACAAATTTTAACAAAATATCTGATTTGTAATTTCCCAATTTTTACTGTCTTTTTTTTGTGATTTTTCAAAAAAAATTGTCACATTTTCCTCTCAACTTATCTGTTTATAGGATAGAAAGAAATTTTTTTTTAATTCTATTTATAAATAATCTTATTAAATTTTTAGCATAAATATACTATTTTTTCAGCATTTATTATAATGTAAATAGTTTATTTTTAAATATAATATTTATGTTAAATAGAGATAATATTAAAAACTGTTCTATTTTAAAGGATGAGATAATATAGTCTGACGTTTTTTTTTTAAAGTTTGCTTTTGTTTCCGGATGAATTGTGTATTTTACTTTCTCAATATGCAAGAATTGGTGATTATAGTGCTGAGGAGAAAGAGGTGCAAGATTTAGACAAGGGCATTGTATTTAAGTTTAAATAATGGTAGGGCACTTCATGATTATGTCAGATGAATAATTTTTCTCTCTCTTTCCCTCATTAGCTCTCGTTCTCTCGGTTTCGAATGTCTCTCACGCTCATTCTCGTCTCCTCCGCCCGAAAGCAGAACGTTGCAGCCTCTCCACTGTGACGTCCGTCGGATCTTCACTATCACATCCGTCGCGTCTTCCCGTGAGCGCCGTCCAGTGCTGGGACCCTAAATGCATCGTTTGTAATGTTGTAGCAGTCAGTCCAGTGATGCGCACAATGATGGAGAAGCCGATGGTTTCTTAGTTCCCTTTTGCTTTTCCCAATCCACTGGTTTGGGGTCCTCCACTTACCCATCAATCTAAGCCTTCTGACCAGTCGCATCGTCGCGTGTTCGATTTCGCGTCTGCATATCTAAGCATCTTCCATTATTGGTCGATTCCCCTCCACGATCCTCAGCGGTAAGATTTCAGGGTTCTCTTATTCGATTGCCAAAATTGATTGTGCGTTTTGTTCTTCCTTGATTCCATCCTGAGATTCTTAACATTTCTTTCCTGTTTAACACTAGCTCGGATCCTAATTATAAAAGATAATTAACTAGCATAAGGAAATTGAAAAAAAATTAAGTTAGTTATTTGTAATAAACAGGTGTATCTTTTTTAAAATATTTTTACTTTTAGAAAGACTAGAATTACTATTATTAGAACTTAGAAAGTCTATCTCAGAAAAAAATGCATAAACATAAAAGATAAAGCAGATTGATATTTTATATTTAGGAATAAAATAAAAATTAAATAAGATCTTGTACTAGAAAGGAGGCAATATAAATTAAGATTTTAAAATATATTTCGGTATTTAAATTTCTCTTTTTCATATTAAAATAATTCAAATTTATTGTACTATTTACTTATTCTTTTATCATTTTTTATTTTTTAATAAAATTTATATCTATTTTGATAATTGAACAAACTAAACTCATTTTTATTTAATCATAATTTCAATAATTTTTTTTACTTAATCTAATTTTTACAAACCAACTTTTATAAAATCTTATCTATATATAATTTATATAACTTAATTTAATTTTTACGCAATATAATTTTTTTAAAAAAATTAAATTAAAAATAAGTTATTTTTTTTCATCTAATCCCAGTAAACCCATATTATTAGATTCTGATTGTCATGTCGAAAGATATCAAATTTGAATTTTGAAAGTCCGTTTGGAAATTAGAGGCATGATTAATGCTTCCATTTTCTTTGTTGGTCAACAATTAGCGCTTACTTTGCAACCTGCATTATTCCGCCATAATCATATCATGTGAAGATATTCCAAAAAACAATCCCTTTTATTTATTATTAGTATTATTTTGTGTTGATTAGGAGGCTCAAATTTTCGCCGTCTGCAACGTAACAGCTTTGGTTAATTGAGCTATGGAAGGGAGGCGCAATTTTAACGACATAGTTGCAGAGCCACTCACGAGAAAAAGCCCTGGTGATTGGTTCGAATGGGTTCGGAACTATCTGATATCTCAAGATCTTTGGGAAGTGACGAATAATAGCGCAAGACCAGACGAAAATCATTTGGAAGATTTTGCGAAATGGAGAAGAAACAATGCTGCAGCATTGCACATCATCCGTATCTCTTGTGGGCCTGAGAATCATTCTCGTATAAGGGGGGTCTCTGAAGCCAAACTTGCATGGGACACTCTCTATGATACCTACTATACTGCGCCACGCCCTTCCCCGGGTCAGTGCCCTATATATTTCGTTAGTGGTATATGTGGAAAAATTCTTTAGTAATTACTAATTGGGGACAACAGCTCTGTCACAAGACAGTCAACTCCACAAAATTAATTTACTCAAAATATATGGTCCTTCTTTGTTTGCAAGGCTATTAATAATTCTCTCATTGCCCTCCTACCCAAAATTTAATTGAGTGGTGATTACAGAGTTAACGGAGGCAGAAGAATTAGAGATGAGTATTCTGCACAAGGCCATAGCTAAAAACAACTGGTCGACTGTGAAAGCAATCATTGATCGCCATCCCAAGGTATTGAACGTTGATTTTGCGACGTCAATGGGCGAAACACCTCTTCATGTGGCTGCAAAGTTTGGGCATCTGGGCATAGTAGAGGAGTTGGTGAGATTAGTTCCAGAAGAATATCTGGAGATACGCGATGCTTATTATAACAATACTCCGCTTGCAATAGCTGTTTCACATAGTGAACTCATCCCGGTTGCAGCATGCTTGATCGGCAAAAACAAAAAGGCACTTGAAATTCCAGCTGAAGACGACTCCGAGATTCCTGTTACCTCGGCTTTTTATTCTGGCCACAAGGAAATGGGACGTTATCTTTATTCTGTCACTCCTTGGGAAGCCTTCAAACCAGAAAAGGGCACTGTGGGGCCTGAGTTCCTCCACGCCTGTTTGAGAAGTGGAGAACTAGGTAGCATAACTACTTTTAGATAAATAATTTTATACACAGCGTACTAATATATGCGTTTCATTTTCATTTGGGTTAAGGTATATTTTAGTCCTGAAAGTTTTCACGAAGGAATTGTAGGTATCCAGAAATATTTTTGGAAGCGATGTGGCTCCAGAAGTGGCAAACTCGTGGCAATGTCGTCATATTTCAACGGAGTTGAACGGTCAACCGTTAGTTGACCAATTTGTGTTGAGGTGGATCTGCCATATAGGACAGTACGCCACATAATAAAAATGAAATACCAAACATGTCCCTTTCTTCTTTCTGCTCCACCATACGTTCTTTGGGAAGAAACCAAAAGCAAATGCAGAGCTGAATATTTCTGGGCTTACCTTCAGCCCTCACTGTTCAAGCTCTTGTTCTGTTTTTATTTTTTTTTAATATTTCTGGCTTTATAATCATGTTTGCTGTTAGTTTTTGAATTTGGATTTCAAAATCTATGGTGATTTTTTTTGTTGATTTTAATTAATGAAGTTGGTAATAGTGAGGCTTGTATATTTGGAGAGCTACTGTGAAGAGCTGAAGATACCCATAAATATCATAATCAATCCAAACTGCCATTGCTGTGTGAAATTTTGGCCGACACTGATGCTATGCCAGAGTCTCTTTGATGATCTTAAATTTTCTCTATGACATGCTTGAGTCTCCCGTATGAATGGCATTTTGAAATACTCCAATTAGTTGAGACTTGAGTCTCCTGAAGAAATTAAGAGCAAAAACATGAAGGTTGCCGTAGGTTGTCGAGGAGGATAGTGAGAATAACTAAGAGCAGGGGCGCGAATATCTAGAAAGAAGATGAAGAAGCCATGGAATGATCTAAACTAAAATTCTCCATGGATGCAGATGATGATGATGAAGGGTAGAGATTTGCATTTTTCTAGATTCGTTTTTCTTCTCATATTGGTTAATTGTTGATCTGGGTTTAAAGTTTTTTTATGGGACTGATGATAATGGTGCAGGGGAAAGGTTTCTTTTATTTATTTATTTTTTTTCAGTAAGGATTGTGATGATGTGGCATGTTATGTGACATAATATTTAATATGACAGATCCACCTCAGTACAAATTGGTCAACGAAAACTTTCAGTACAAAAATGTCAGTTTACCCTTTTCATTTTCCCCCGTCAGTTTATACATGTGGCCTTTTTCCATTTCTCATACTATGATGTTGGTGCATAAATAGATATTGCCTTGGATTTGCTCCGACGATGCAAGGAGCTGCTTTTTGCTACTGACATAAATGAGGACCCAACAATTCAGAATATTGCACGCTATATTCATACTACTCTGCACATAAGTCGACTTCCGTTCTGGGAGCGATGGCTGTATCACTGTTAGTGCATATTATTAATTTCTGTTTTTCCCTACAATTTTCTTTATGTTGTTTGCTCATTTTAATTATGACGATGAGGATAAAGATGGCGAAGACGAAGTTATTTTAACTGCCAGTGGTATTCATCTACTAAGGCTCTTTGAAAATTTGGTGAAACGTTTATGAAGTATTTCCAAAAATAATGTTGGCAAAATTCCAAAAATACAATTTATGCAATTAACTCTCAATTTAATGGAAAATATTATCTCTGACTTTATTATTATTTTTTTTGCAACTATTATTTCTGTCTTTATGTTTCATACAAAACAATCCCTCAATTTATAGGAGGTGGCGGCAATTAATTGACACTATTTTTGTAACTTACTTGTAGTTCCTAGTTTTTTGTTGCAATATTATTGAAGAAGAAGCTTATGTGTTCCATTTCTTTGATCACATTTGGGTGGAAGATACCAAAATACCATCAACCACAACCACCGGGCATTTCTGCGTAGATATTCAGCAAGAAGGCGAGAGCAACCAAGCTGGTCAAGGTACAAAATTCTCTCTCACTTTAAAAGATGAAATCAAGTAATATTATATAACTATTATTATAGAACATCGATTATACAATGTAAAGTTACGTTTTTCAATTTATTCATTATACATACCAAAATCCATGTCAACAGGCCTAGGTCTATTCCATTGGCCCATCTCCAGCATCTATAATTTTTTAGGTATGTATGCAAGTATACCAAAAAGTTTCCACAGAACTTAAATGATGCCCTTAATATTTTAATTCTATTTGATTTACCAATGGTGCAGGAATCAAGAAAATATACGAGATGAAGGTGCAGCATGCAAAAGCAGCTGAAATTCTAAACTTCGTTTGTGACAATCTGATATATTTGAATGACGTAAAGAAGGATATGGTTAAAAAAGCACTGATATCTGTATCTGAAGAAGAGAATGTTGAGTTTTTGTTGCGAGTAATGAATGCAAACACAGAATTAATAACGCTAGTCAGTTATGGTGAGCCAGACTTGTCCATTTTCTTTGATGCTATTAAATATCGTAGAGCTGGGATTTTCAACCTCCTCCGTGGTTTTCGCTTTAAGAATGTGGCGGCGTCATCTATTGACTCTGAGAGAAATACCTTGCTGCACGTGGCAGCCATGTTGGCTCCTTCTACCTACCTTCATGGCATCCCCGGCGCAGCATTACAGATGCAAAGGGAAATGCAATGGTTCATGGTTAGTTAGAAGTGAAATTTAATGCTTTTTCCTTCGATAGTTTGTGTCTTTCATTAATTGCTTATTATGTACTTATTTTCTGCAAGCATAGGCCGTTCGCAGTGTGATGGATCCTGGAGATAGGCTACTTGTAAACAAGAAGGGGCTGACACCCATGCAAATTTTCAAAGAAAACCACAAAGAGCTGAGGACTGAAGGAGAAAAATGGATGAAGGAAACAGCGTCTTCTTGCTCAGTTGTTGGGGTTTTAATTGTTGGCATCATGTTTGCTGCAGCTTTAACGGTTCCTGGAGGAAACAATCAGGATTCAGGGTACCCAATATTTATGAAGGAGAAGTTATTTAAAGTTTTCATAATTTCAGATGCACTTTCCTTGTGTTCGTCCACTATTTCTCTTCTCACATGTTTAGCAATCGTCACATCACGCTATGCAGAAGAAGACTTCCTTTTCTTACTTCCTACAAAATTGATAATAGGTCTTTCTATGCTGTTTCTTTCTATTGCAACCATGATGATTTCCTTTTTAGCAACCATAATGATCATGGTGCAATATAATGCTTCACATTTATGGGTTACTCTTCCTGTTATTGTCTTTGCTGGTATTCCAGTAACCCTCTTTGTATTACTACAACTCCCTCTTCTTGTTGAAGTATTGTGGGCTACTTATGGTCCAGGCCTCTTCACGAAGAAGGTGGTGAGGTGGCCATGAACTGTGCATGTAGTTATTTCACATCTTAGCATGATATGTATTATTTCCTAGAGGATGAAATATGTACTTTATGTATTTTCTGTTGAATAAGAAATTTCTGATCCCCTTGAATCTTATCATGTAAATAAAGCATCTGGTTTTATTTTTAGCCTAATCGTATCATCATGCTTTGCACATCTAGATGAGGTGAACAACGTTGGCAGCTCATTATTGAATCTGCAGTAGGGTCCGTTTTCATGGCCCTCTACAAGCTTCATGTGTTTGTACGCACAGTAGGTTTTCACCGTAGGGTCCGAATTTGTTGTTAAAATAATGTCACATGAATATATTTTATAGAAGATCTTATTGTCCTTTGACTATTTTTTTCCTATTATTTTCGGAATGTCTGGCTTTTCTTAATTATTTAATAATGAATTATTCCAGCAAATCCCAACAAAAGTAATGAGGTGCATGTGCTGACTGCTTAACCGTTAGACTTCAATTTGATTCCCACCCGTAAACCGCTGTAACTTGTCAACAAATTGATCTGGTGGGGCCGCCAGCCACCACCCCAAAAGTATTAAGGCTGGAGCCTAGCCTTAACATATTTATGCCCATATATTTTAATTATATAAAATAAAAATAAGAAATTAAAATAATTTGAAAAAGATCCACCGTCTCTGATCATAATTGTTTCCTATTTCCTTTTACACAATTTTCTACCACCATTTAGAAAAAAAATAAATAATTAAATAAAAATTCAAATAATATGAAAATGCAGCACAATCTTTCATTCACGTACTTGTGTTAATAAAGAAGCATTATTTATGTTCACCCAAAAAGAAAAGGAGCATTATTTCTGAAAAAACTTTGTAGCAATGACAAATTAAAACCGGCAAAAACTGTTTCGCTTTCATTTTACCCAACTGTTTCAGGTTGTTGGAGGGGGAAAATAAATTTTGAACTTTCTCAAAACACTGAAAGATTTGTTTTATATATATATATATATATATATATATATAAAGTAGAACAACAGTTATATGTAGTTGTTTCTAAATATCAGAAGCATGATTGAATCAACACAGATAAAATTAAAAAAATTAATTTGTATCAAATATAATATTAGTATAATATGAATATCTGATACATTAACTTTTTATTGAACAAAAACTGAAAATAAAATGAAATTACCAATAATTTTTTTGATTATTATGGAAAACGCATAACAAACATTTCTTAAAATATGGAGATTATTACTATCCTCAATTTCTAGTTATTTATAGTATTATTCAAAAATAAAAGTGATTATGAAGAATGTTTAATATAATTTGAGGAATAACAAGATTTTTTTAACGTAATTAAGTACATCGATACCTTTCGGCTGAAAAAATTTCGTTAAAACCTATAAATTAATGGTTGACATAATAAAAAGTTTTGTTATTTTAAGTTATGCCTAATTAAAAATAATTGTATTGAACAAGGGCATATATTCTGTTTAATTTGCACAAATTCAAACAGGCACAGACAGTCAAATGTGATGCATAACTTTAGAACTTTGGTGCACAAATTACTAAAAACAAGATTTGCATAACAAGATGGGGAAATTTCTATAAAAGGAACTTCCAAATTACTAAATCTCAAATAAAAAATTCCTACAAAAATGTGTTATTATTTAGTAGTAAAAATATTTTGTATTACATTCAACACCTTGAAGTGTTTTCTCAAATGTATCTAGCTCTCTAAAATATTTTGTAGTACATTCAACACCTTGAAGTGCTTTCTCAGATATGTCCAGCACCGTGAATTTTTTTCTGCATCTAGTATCTCAAAGTATTTTTTTAGATGCATTCAACATCTAAAAATATTTTTTGATGCATCCAGCGTCAAAGCAAAAAAAAAATTATTTCAGAATATTGGATACACCTAAAAAATACTTCAAGATGCTGGATGCATCACAAAATATTTCGAAATGCTGGATGCATATAAGAAAATACTCCAAGATATTAAATGCACCTTAACCCAAAAACTATTAAAGTATAGGAAACAATTCTGATTTGAGATTAGTAATGTTTATGTTCCTTGTGTAAGATTTTCTCTAGGAGATATGCCGCATTTTAGTGGATTGATAATCTTCAATTCAAGTCCAAGTCGGTTGCTTCACCAATGCTTCAGATTATGCCACGTCAGCGTTCCCCCGTCTCCTAGACACGTTTGCCTTTTGTTTCCATTCCCTTCTCTCTCTGTTTTTTTCCCCCCCACCCTTACAACCATTTTCCTTGCTCCTTGTCTGCTTGAGATCTACTGGATTCAATTTAAAGGAAATTAAAAAGCATATGGTGCTTTCATTCCTCCAGGGAAAGAATAGACTCAAGTCCACAGTTACATAATACTTTCTTGTGCAAACGTTGGTTAGAGCGGCTGGTTTTAGTTTTAAATGCTCTCATCTAAGGTTTAGAAGCTAATTAAAGATTGATTTTAATTCTAAATATAGAATTTTAATACACTTTATCTCTCATATTTATTATTTCTTTTTAAACTGCCTGAATTGATTGATACTCACTCGATTAGCAGTATTACCAATCAAATTCAAATAGATACAAGACATTTGCTATACATGTGTACTTTTGTAATCATTGATTAATTTATCCAATTTTCTTAATATATTCAAATTAGTAGTTGAGTAGCTTTTGCGTTAAAAACTCAATGAAGAGTATTAAATATTTTAAACCATAAGAAATAATACGACAATGACTATAAATTTACAATGCGTCTGCAAAAGAAGATACAATATGGTACTTAAGATAGTTGAGTTGTTCCCCAACATCACTATCTTTTTTAATGTGTACATGCTTTTTAAAGTAAAAGTCAAGTTTTTATTCTTTTTCTTTTTCTTGTTGGTAACATATCACGATCTTTTTCTTGATCCTCTATCATATATTGAATATCTTAAACCATACGAACACGTAAGGAATATATAAACGAAAAGGCTATAAATATATAGAATGTGTGAAGAGTAGTGAAGTGCGAGGGCAAGCTGAAAAAGAAGTAACAAGCCACTGCCATCACAAATTCACGTGAAGGAAGGAAGAAGTAAGCGCAATCAATCTTTGTTTATTTTGCTGAAATGTGTATTTTAATTTCACAAACTGAAAAAATTGATGATTAAATACAGTGACGAGGGGAGAGAAGTACAAGATTTAGATATGAGTATTGTGTTAAGACTATATTATTAAAAACTTCCGGCGTATCTTCTTTATGTATAGAACAAATGAAAGCATGTTTTAGTATTATTCTTAGGCAACACCTGAGTCAATTCCTAGCTGAACCTCGATACCAGTACTAGGTACCAACTCATTGGATTCACTCATTCTCATTTGATTTATCTATATCCTTCCTCTTAATTATGCATATGAATATATATTTTAAATTTTTAATGCATATGTGCTGCTTGTTGATTCCAGTGATGCAGGCAGACGAATTAAAAATGGCTAATTTGAACAAGGCCATATTTGAGAACAACCGGTTCGAAGCAAAAGTAGTCATTGATCGCCATCCTAAGGTACTGGACGTAGAGTTTGGAGTTTCAAGAGGCGAAACACCTCTTCATGTAGCTGCAAAGTTCGGGCAAGTGGGCATAGTAGAAGAGTTGATGCAACTAGTAGAACCAGAATATCTTGAAATATGGGATTATCATGGCTATACTCCACTTGCAAAAACTGCCAAATACACGGGATCCATTCCAATTGCAAAATGCATGATAAGCAAAAATAGCAATGCACTTACAGTTGAAGCTCAGCGGCCTTGGCTGATCCCTGTTACCTTGGCTTTTTTTCTGTGGCCGCAACAAATTGGGACGTTATCTCTATTCTGTCACTCCTTTGCAAGTCCTCAAAGTGGAAGACGGCCCTGCTGTGGGTCCTGAGTTTCTCCGAACCTGTTTGAGAATTGGAGAATTTCGTAACATAATTTTTAGATATATAATTTCATTCGCAAAGCACAATATATGTTTCATTTTCGTTTCTTCTCTCTTCTCATTATACTACCTCCAGTCCTAATTATAAGACCCAGTTGACTTATTTGAGGAGATTAAGGAAGTAAGTTAAGTTAGTTATTTGTAATAAATAAGTGTTCTCATTCCTAAAATATCCTTGTTAATTAAATGTATTGATTAGAACTATCATTATTAGAAGGACTATCTTGGAAAAAATGCATAAATATGAGAGACAAAATGGATTGGGGTCTTATAATTAGGACCAAACAAAAAGTCAAACGAGGTTTTATATTAAGGACCGGAGGTAGTACTATAAATAGGATTTTGATACATGAATAGATATTGCCTTGCATTTGCTCCAACAATGCACGGAGCTGCTTTTTGCTGTTGACGAATATGGGAACTCAACAATTGCGAACATTGCACACTCTTCCTCATTCTCTTCACAAAAATCAACTTCCGTTCTTGAAGCGATGGGTCTATCACTGTTAGTGCATATTATTACTCCCCACTCTCTATTCTCCCTACAATTTTCTATATATGTGGTTTGCTCTTTTAAAGTATTCCATCTGTCCTATATTATAAGTAACGTTGGAGCTCAAAATATTAGTTAAAATTAGTTAAAGACAATAAGTATGTAAAAATTAGAAATTCTTTTACTAAAATGCCCTTATTTATGAGGAAGAAGAGTATAAAAGAGAGAATAAGAAAATTATTATAATAAAGAGAATTATGGAAGAGAGAGAATGTGTGATGGAGAGATGATGGTCTAGGAAATAAAATAATAAATATATTGAGTATTAAAATAAATAATTGATGGGGTAAAGTAGGAAATTTGCTGTAAAAAATTTAAGACAACTTACAACTGTTGCTTATATTTAGGGACAAAAAGGAGAGGAAAGTTATTGCTTATAAAATAAGACGGAGGGAGTACTTACTAGCCATAATGGCAAATTATGATGATGACAGTAAAGGTGGTGAAGATGAAAAAATCTCCGGTATAATTTAGTTTACACACACACTGATTCCA